GATCTGACAGTCTCTTCTGTCCTCCAAGGGCATTGCACGACACAGGTGCACTTACCTACAAGAAAGGAAAAAAAAAACAAAAAAAAAAAAAAAAAAAAAAAAAGAGAAGGAGCAGCAGCAGCAGGAGCCACCAGAAAGGATTAAGTTTGTAGCTTTAGATGTAAGAAAAATGATATATATACATTAAAAAGTAAACAAGAGGAATGTTTAGATTTTATTATTTAACTATTTGATTTTATAAAAATAGAAAAGATTTGATGATTCAATTTGTGTTGTAGATTGTGTTCTCCAAGAAGATGCTGAGATAGAGCTAGAAGACCAAAGTTTTCTTGAACCTCTGAGAGAGAAAGAGAGGAAGCAGGATTGGTCAGAAGCTGTCAGAGTACCAATACAGAGGTGGCATGTCCTATCTCAAGGTGGAATAGCTATTCAGTTTATCCTGGGTTCAATGTTTGGATGGGTATAAACTTGGGAAAGAGTTGTGCTGAGAATAATAAAACCTCAGCCTGAAATTCATAGCTGGAGGTTGCAGCTAGTCCTTTTTTGAAAGTCTTTTCTGAGCGGTGCCCCTCTGTGACTGCCACACATTGGAGAATTTCAATTTAATCCAAAGTGATCTGTGAATTATTATTTTATTTCATTTTTTACAAATTCAACAATCTTGTTTTACATATTTGGAAGACCAAAGGTTCTCAGTTAGCCAGGTTTAATTTGAAAAAGAAGAGCAAAGAGGAACATTAATATTTGCCCTGTTATATAAGATAGTCTCTACTACAACAGTAAATAAAATAACACGGTACTAATGTAGGCAAAGACAAATAGAAAAAGAAGTCATAACCAGAATCATGGATAAATGGCAATATAAATGATGATAAATAACATCTCAAATCAATGGGGGAAAGACAGACTGCTGAGAAATACTACAGAAAAAAACGAGTTCACTGATTAGAGAAAAAGTGGGCCAGTATCAACCTCAAACCATCTACAGGGAAGTGCTCCAAGAGAGTAAATACTTAAGTGTTGTTCTCTACAGAGACTAAAGAGCTTTAAAAATAAATTGAAAATACAGAGTATTTTTCTGATTTTGAAATGCAGACTGAGTTTAGAAACAGGGCTCAAAAAGCACTACTGAGAGTAATAAGGCTATATTCATCAACCGTGAGTGAGAACTGGAAGGATGCAAGAAGTTAAGCACACTATTGAGAACACTCCGGGGGTCAGGCAGCTAAAAGATGAAGGCAGCTCTTGACAAAAATCCCATAGACATACAGTTCCATTAGAAAACGTGTCATTACCTTGCCTATCTGAAATGCTCATACCTCTGCTTCTTTCCTATTTAAAATGAAGCATATATCATTTGATAAATACTTTGTTGCAGACACTGTGCTAGGTCAAGAAGCATAAAAAGGAGTAAGTTTGAGGCTCAGCATATTTGGAGCTGAGAAAGATTATGAAACTAAATAAAATGCTATAACTGGCTACAGCCAGAAACCAAAGATCACTACTCTGTCTAGGCTGCCGGTAAGGAAATGGCACATGAGCAATGAGGAACTGATATTCTGGGCACAAGGAACAGGGCCTTGAAAGATCATGGCATGTTGGAAAATGAGAAGTAACAAGATAATGAATTCCAAAATGTCCAAAATGTTAATGTTACGAACAGAGAAAAGCAGTTTATAGTGGTTGTCTGAGTAGTACTGGTCATTACATTAGCTAACTTTCTATCTTTGGAGACAGGTCCAAAGCAAATGAAGTAATGAAGGGACACAGGTTCCAAAATAATGGCTAAGGAAAGTAGTACACCAAGGAGCAGCAATGACTAATTGTGGCGTGGTAACAAGCACTGTACTGCGGATTTAGAGGAGGAAGGAATTATCACGCTCAGTGGTCAAGAAAAATTTCTTGGATATGAGAGGGCTTCATTTTGTCATTCAGAGACACAGTCTATCCTTATTACTTACAGACTCTGTATTTATGAGTTTCTTTACTCAGTAGAATTCATTTGTAATCCCCAAACTAACACTTGTGGTAGTTTTGCAGTGGACATCTGGGGGTATTAAAAAAATCCAGGTCCTATGATGTGTATATTCTTAGCTGAGGCTGCACAAGGGGATGCTCTGCCTTCTTTTCAGTTCTCATACTGGAAACAAGTGTCCAATTTGTTGTCTATTTGATGCCATAATTTTATTATTACTTATTTTATGTTGCATGAGTATATTGCCTGAATGTACATAAGTGCACCCGCATTGTGCAATGCCCGTGGAGGTCAGAAGAGGGCATCTGATCCCCTGGAACTGGAATTACAGATGGTTGCCACATAGGTGCTGGGATTTGAACCTGGGACCTCTGCAAGAGTAGCCAGTACTCTTAACTGCTGAGCCATCTCTTTAGCCCCTGATGCCATGTTTTGTTTTTTTTTTTTCATTTGTATGCTTTTTGTTGATAATTTCACTGTTTAAAATGCCTCCAAGTGCTGCAATGAGCTACTCTATTTGGTTCCTACATGCAAGAAGGTTGTAACACTTTTAGAGAAAAATAGATGAATTAGATGAGCTTTGTTCAAATATGTGTTATAGTGCCAGTGGCCATGAGTTCAATATAGATGGATCAACAATATAATATTAAGGTGGCTTTAAACAGAAACCCACGATTTATTGATCAGTTGACTAAAATATTGCGACTTAGATGCTCATAGAAAGCTACATTTCTTTTTAGGAGGAATGGTTTCTTATGTGCTTATTCATTGACTGTTTTATAGAACATTACCACTGGGAAAAAGAACCATCAGGGCTATTCTTGAAAGCAGGAGATTCAGAGTTATGTCCACTAAGAAATATGCAACCAGCAACTGCAAAAATAAAGCAATGAGGGGCTGGAGAAACTGCTCAGTGGTTAAGAGCACTGACTGTTCTTGCAGAAGACCCGGGTTCAAATCCCAGCACCCACATGGCAGCTAACAACTGTCTGTAACTCCAGTTCCAGGGGATCCAACATCCTCTTCTGTCCTCCATGGGCACTGCATAACATGGGTGTACTTACCTACATGCAGGTAATAAATGCATACCCATAAAAATAAATGTTAAAAAAATAAAGCAATGAGTGCTATGAAAGAAGCAAGCACAGGCTGATGTGAGAAAACACCTGAGAGAGAGACCTGTTTAAGAGCAGAAAGGTCAGGGGTGGATATGCTATATACACTCATTTTTTTTTTTTTTTTCTTCAAGGAACTCAGTTAAGGATGACTGGAACAAAGATCAAAAGATACTGGGAGGTGTTTCTAGGACAAAAGAGGTTTTGAGAGACTAGAAGTTAGCCAGCTCTTTGACAGGCAGACAGATAGGGAAAGGACCACTGACAAGCAATGAAGATGGTATATTTCCAGCTTCTTCCTCACAAGAGACAGAGCCATAGAAGGCTTTTTCTCCTGCTGGCAAAGCCCCCTTCAGGCTGATCAGTCTGTACCAGTCTAGGTAAGTCCAAGGTCAGTCTTGGACATCTCAGCTTGGAGCTGTGGGCCTATCAGCCCTCTGTTTTTTGTATAATTGACCAATCCAAAATTAGGGGAGGGGACCTGCCCTATACCACCAGGAATACTTAAAAGACTTAGGCCCTCCTAAGGGCATTAGGTTTCTGTTTCTGAATTCTCTCCTCACTTATGGGGAGTCTTTCTGTTTATGAATGTATGTGTATTTTCTTTGCTTTTAGTAAAGTTTGTTGCCTGCTATGTTTGAGATTCTTCTTTTTAATTTTTTAAGTGAAAGAGACCCCTTAGACAGTAACATTTTGACTTTGGAAATGCCTTATAAGATATTAAAAAACTATTTTATCCTGAAGACAATGCAGAAGTTGATGAAATCTTTTAGCAAGGAAGTATCATGATTAAATCTGAAGTTTTAGAATTATCCCTATAAACAGTGATGATGATGGCAACTGAAGATGAGCAGATATTTTGGTAGTCTTAAGGAACAAGAGTTTAAGCTGTTGCTATTGTTTGCAGTGAATGTGAACTTTAAGCATACCAGTAGCAGTATTAGAGAAGGGTGGGTAAGGCCTGAACAAAGAGAAAAAGTGCAGGCAGTCTTTGTAGCAAACAATTTTACCTGTTGATAGAAGGTTTGGACACCTAGAATAGCAGATCAGAGTTATGGAGCAGTTAGTGATAAAGTTGAAATAATTGGTGGAGTGGACTGGCAAGGCTAGAGCAAAATAAGACTTTAATAGTCTCTCAGTGATATAAAATTTGTAAATAAATTTCATGTCACCTAAAATTTACCATCTAAATAATTTTATGTGTACAATTTAATGGCATTAAACAAATTGTTGTTTAAACATTAACAACATTCATTTCTAGAACTCTATTATCATCGCGAAAAAAACAAAACAAAACAAAAAAAACCACTGAAAAATAATTCCTAGGTTCCCTTTCTCTTTGCCTCCTTTCTACTTTTTGCTCCTGGTAATCACCATGCTACATTCTATCTCTTCTGCTATCTAGAAACCTCTGTAAGTGGAATCAAATACTCATCCTTTCATGTCTGGCTTATTGGACTGAACTAAATCACTTTAATCAATACCCTGGGGTTATTCATAACCTTGATTCTAATTTACATCTGACTCCAGATGTTGTATTTAAGACTAAATGGCTAGCTTTGTACTTTATACTGTTTCCACTTAATGCTTAAGGATACTTCATTCTAGCAAATTATCAACTCAGTTCATAGGAACAATCCTATCACCGTTTCAGTAAGAATTTTATTGGTTTACTTACTGTGTCTTTAGATTGTGATCTCTTTTCATTCCACTTGTAGTCCATAGACTTTAGAGTCTTTGCTAGTCTCCTAAATAATATATAGTAATACAAAATAAAGTTGTTGGACCACCCACGATAAATGGAAAGCTATTTTGAAAGCTCTCTTTTGATACAAAATAATTTCTCGGAGTTGAATCTGCTCTAAATGAAGAGAATCTAAAACACACCAAAATTTATATTTAGCTAAGGAAAGATGCCAAGGTTTCAGGTTATAGGAAACTGTCAAGGTTATCTCATTTTTCTTTTGAGGCATCCCTAATTTTCCAAAAACTACTTCTGGATAAGGACACTAATCCTCCTGGGGTCTCAAGTGGGTTACATCAGACCAGCCTGTGTTTACCAACCGTGTGCACGTAACAGCACATACAGTGTACGGTATTGGTAGGGTGCTGCGGTAACTAATGCAGGTCAAGCACAATGAAGGGCACCTGCAACCCGCAGGCTGCCCAGAGTTCTCCAGTATCGCTTCATCCCGCAAGTTCATTCCAGCTGACAAGCACAGTCCTCTTAAAGAACAAGGTCTGCGAGTCTGTGGCCTTTCCGTCCTTGTAAAGTAAAAAAGCATTCGTCGTTAGCCATGACGAGAGCCAACGAGTAAAAAGGAACTAGGACCGCAAGGAACGCAAAAACGCACAAAATGGACCACCACGCTTGCTGATTCCGCTCTCCGCTGAACGCAGCCTCTTCCCAGCATGCTCTGGGCGTCAACGCGAGACTTCAATCAATTCTCGCGAGATTTATTGGCAGCCATCTTCTTGGGGGTGCTGGGAGCCGGGAAGACCCCTGAATCGGTCCCTTTGAGGCACCCCTTCTTCGCTTTCTTCACCTCTGCTTCTGTCGCATTGCCAACAAGCACCTAGTCCCGAAGCTAAGAGGAAAGCCCAGGTCTAAGCGTGTTCGGTGCTCCTCCTTCGGGAAGATTCGCTGGGGAGCAGGGCAGGGGGAGGGCCTCGGCGAACCGTTGCTGCCTCAGCCTGGGCCGGGGTCCTCAGAGGGGAAGCTCCTGGCAGCCCGTGGGCGCGCGGCCTGTGGCCGATTCCGCCGAGCTGCTCGCCGACCGCGGCCCGCGGGAACCTGCCACCGGCGCCTCCCACTGCGGCCCACGCGGGCTGCGCGCCGAGGAGGGGGCGGCGGCTGCTGCCGCGACCCGGGCGGGCGGAGCAGTGTGACGGGCCTCGCGGCCGCCGTGAATGGTGTCTAAGATGATCATTGAAAACTTCGAGGCCCTCAAGTCCTGGCTCAGCAAGACGCTCGAGCCCATGTGAGTACCCCGGGGAGCTCTGCCTGCAGGGATGCCAGGATCGGTGGGCGCAGGATCCGTGCAGTTGGCCCCGGAGTCCCCGCCGCCGAGGCCAAGGCCATGGACAGAGGTCCCGAACGCCGGGCTTTCTCCTGTCTACCTTTTCGTCCGGCTTCGTCGAGCCCTGAAAGCCGGATCTGTGCCTCGCTAGAATCGTTGAGCCGATCTTTGACCGGCGTCTCCTGCTTTTGTTTTCCCGTTACTTGTTAGACTGACCCCAACGTCGGCCCAGTACACCTGTGTTTTCGGAGGGCCTCCAAATCAGTTTCTTTGCTTTTAATGAATGCTAGAACATCTTCCTGCCCACAGACTTATTTTCCCGGGTTTCTCTAACCGAAGCGAATGACTTTTATTAGAAATTAGGCAGTTCGAGTCTGTCTCACATTTCACTTAAAGACAATCCCTGAAAGATAGGTCACGTCCCCATGTGGTGTCTGGCTCATCTCCACCTCTCTTAACTGATTGAAGGGGTAACAGGTGCTAATATGCCCAGTAAAATCCCCCTTTCTCACCTACGTGGAAAGGAAGAAAATTCAGTCTGCCCATATGGAATATTTAGCAGTTTAAAGAGGAATTCTGTGCAAGTGATGAAGTGTCTTAGGTTGAAATTTTTGAGGAATGTTGGCTTATTTAATGCAAAATACATCATGCACGAAGTACATTTGGTTACAGTAACAACTTAAAATACAGTCTGGGATAATTACTTAATCCACGTATTAAGTTCTTAGAGTGTACTATGGAAAGTTTTTAATTCCAAAGTTGAGTAGATGCAATAAATACCATTTCAGATAGTATCAGTTATGAGCAGTGTAATAGAGGGTCATGTAAAGGTTTACTTCCACACCTGGTGGTCAGTGAAAGCCTCTAGGCAAGTAACATTTAACAAAACTTAGAGGAAAAGGAACCATCTGTGTGATAGTCTGAGGAAAGACTGCGCTTTGCAGAATGAAGAGCAAATGCAAAGGCCTGGTAGAAGACATGGTTGCGATGTTCAGAGAAAAGAGTTGGACTGGTGATGTGTTCAGAGAAAAGAGTTGGACTGGTGATGAGGATCGAGGAAAGACAAAGTTGGAAAAGTAGGTAGGGGCCAAATCAGATGGAAACTTTTAGAGGGCATTGTCTGGAATTAGGATCTTATGCAATACATAGTGCAAAGATAAAGGTGATTTAAAGCAGAAAAGTACTGATTTAATTACGCCTGCTTTGTGGAGACTTAAGGCAACAAAATGAAATGAAAGGGGCTATTTTGAAGGGTAGTTTACGCAGAGATTGCATTGGATGATTGTGGAAGAAGAACCCAACAGACTTAACAGGTGATATGATAGAATCTGCTGATTGGATGTGGGAGACAGGAAAAGAAAACTAAGGTATGATGCCCCAAAGTTAGTTTTCAGAGCTTGATGGATGATAGAAGGCTGAGGGGAGTTCAGGTTGGGGAAGGGAATGGTGGTTGGTTTTAAGTGTGAGGTACTTGTTATTTAAATAAAAGTTGGATGCTGGAGCCTAGAACTCAGGACAGGACTAGATAAATACAGAGTCATGCTAACAGTATTTGAAGCTTGGAATCATGGGAACGTTCCTGGGGAGACTATGTAGGTTGGGAAGAGACAGGGTTGAGGTAGGTGGTATGACACAAGGAGGTGGGGTTTGTTAACTTGATAGGATGCTACTGATGGATGAACTAAGATAGAGGTTCTTAGATTTGACAAGGTGGAAGTCATTGATGGTCTTAGTAAAAGAGTTGATTGAAATGGAAATGAATAGAAATTCTGTGTCAAGGAACTGGAAGGGTGTAGCCCAGTAGTAGTTTATGTGGTGTGCAAGGTCCTAGGTTAAATCTTCAGTACCTCCCACTCTCAAATAAATAACCAAAAATTAAGACGGTTTGCATCAGGGGATTGGAGAGACATTGGGAACATAGCATAGCAGGTAAGAGGGAGGACCCCAGAGCTGAATGACTAGTTTTGAGCTGTGCCACTCCACTTACCTACCATTTGTATAATATTAGGTAAGTTACTTATCTCAATGCCTTTGTTTCCACATCTGTAAAGGGGGGAAAATAATGAGTATATATAAAGAAAATCGTAGAATACTTCCTGGTGTGTCATAAGCGTTTGAAAAGAATTAGCTGAACAGAAAAACTTTGAACTATTCTTTGGGGTTGAAAATAGCATATTTATGGTAGAGCCTACCTAGATGTCCTTAGTACAGTTCTCACTATCATAATAAACAGTCACTGCTAGTAGAATCCATACGATGGTAAGGAATTTCAGATGGCCTTTTATTATAAAATTCAGCCCTTAGTCCCGTTCTTTTAATTTCCATATAATCTCTTGTCCCTTTAATTGTATTTCTGGTGGATTCTTCTAGCTGATGACTTAACTAAAACTTATTCTAATTATTTGCCATCATTGATTTTCTAATGTTCTTGTTAGGTAGAGATTTTTTTTTTAAATTGTAATAAACAGACTACATCTGTTTGAGAAAGAACTGTATGAAGTAGTGAGGATAAGATTTAACATGAAATTTATATAATATTTTTAAGCTATTGATAGTTGAGTGTCATGATTTTTGGACTTAGTGGAATTTTGAATGTATTTGGCAAACTTTTGAGTACTGCACCTACTCTCTGCTAATCATTGTACCAGGTATTGGGGAAACAGTATGCAGTAAGACATAAAATGACAGTCTTCATACGTTGGGGTAGACAGATGTTGAGCAGGTAATTATACTGAATGATAAAGAAGTCCAGAATGTTGTGAAAGGTCTGTAAGGGTCAGGAAAAACTTCCTTGAAATTGTAACATTGAGTCTTAGCTTGGAAAGATGAAAAGTGGTTTCCTGTGTAAGCTTTCTAGGTTTAGAAGAACAGATTGTTAAGAATGTCCTAAAAATGATGTGGAGGAGAAAAGAGTTTAGAACAACTGAATGAGATTGAAAGAGCAAAGGAAGAAGCAGCGGGAGTGGCCAGATCACACAGGACTTTATTTATTCAGTCACCTTAATGATTTTGTGTGTTTTTGAAGCTTTGTATGGAAGCCAGTGAAGGATGTAGGGTAGATGTATTTTGAGGGTGATGGTGAATGGGGTAGCGGGTAGGAAAGCCTGGTTGCATTTTCAGTGTGATCTGTTCATTGATTATAAGTTCTGTGATTGTAGTAGAGTTCTGACTTTCTTTTTTCATAAATTATTGAAAAAGTAGGCATTACAATTTCCATCTTGAAATACTTAAATTGATATCTTGTTATTTCAGACATTTGCTCACTCATACTTGCAAATAATATAAAACTAGAGGCCAGCTTTTCTTCTATCATTCATGTTTTTGGTAATTTGAAATTCTAAAAAAAAAATTAGAATCTTTGTTGTAGTTCAGCTTTTTTTCTTGGTTAATTTTTAAGTTAGCATATAAAGTAATTTTATTATGGACTTTCCATACATGTATGCCATTGTACTTTGGTTTTGTTCTTATTGACCCCAATGTCCTCTACCCCACCCTCACCTTCTTTTCCCTGTCTTCCTCCCACAAAGTCTTCCCCTCTGTTTTCATGTCGTGTATTCCATTTCTCTTTTCATCCTTTCCTCCTCTACCTTAAGATCCTCCTCCTCCCACCACATGGCCCCTTTCTACTTTATACTCACATCTACCCATAACTATTCTGACTGGGGTAAGGTGGTATCACAAAGCAGTTTGTGTGTGCATGATTGTGTGAATGTGTACATGGTAGAGATGTCAAAGGTTGACATCAAATGTCCTTTGTTGCTGTCTACCTTATGTTTTGAGACAAGATCTCTCATTGAACCCAGTGCTCCTTGATTTAGCTAGGCTTGCTAATCAGTGAATTCCAGGATGCCCTACCCCCCCCCCCCCACACACACACACTGAGGTTACAGATGCTGCTGCCTCTCCAGGCTTTTACTTGGGCCTCAGGGATTAGAATTTATATCCTCATGCTTGTGGGACAGGTGTTTTGGTGACTGAGTCCTCTTCTCCAGCCCCCTCAAATAATTTTAATATGTATTTCTCTAATGGCTAAGAATATTTATTGTCCACTTATTTGTCTTCTTTTGAGAACCTCTTGGTCAGTTTGTCAGCTCACATATTGATTGAACAATTTTTTGGGGGGGTTTTATTTTTTAGCATTTATTTATATATTCTAGGTATTAACCTGTTAGAACTATATCTGTCATATCTGTCAAAGATTTTTTTTCCCATTCTGTAGTCTGTCTCTTCCCTCTGGTAATTGTTTCCTTTGCTGTGCAGAAGCTTTTTAATTTCATATAATCCTGTTGATCAATTCTTGGGATTATTTCCTGCCCTTTTAGAATCCTTTTCAAAGTCAGTGGCTTTTTTTCCCTTGATAATTTCTAATCCTGACATCTCATTCATTTTTCCTGTGGTTCAAATGTTTCCTTCTTCAGGACCATGTTGAAATCTAATTACCATTGTAGCATTTGGCCGAAGCCTCTAGCCTCACAGGTGTAATTAATGCTTTTATAAAAGGGCAAAATTTTGCCCTCCTTTCCTTTTCTGCCTCCCACCATGTAAGGGACTGTCTTCCTCTCTTCCCTAAAATGTGCTCAACGGCCTTCTTCAGGTCAGAACTGCCAAATCTGCCAGTCCCATGATAATAGACTTGAGGTACTATGAGCTGATTTCTGAGTTGTGTGTCATAGATTTGTTTAAAATCTAAAGACTCCTTTGTCTAGGATGTTAGATGTACTTGCACATTTGCATTGAACTTCAGGATTTGTTAATGGACTCCACATGTCCTGTGTATTTATTTTTTAAATATTTTATTTTTATGTGTATGAGTGTATTGCCTGCATGTAAGCACACCTGTGTCACAGTGTCTGTTCACAGAGATCAGAAGAGGGCGTTGGATTCCCCTGGAATGGAGATACAGACAGTCGTCAGCTGCCATATGGGCGCTGGGAATCAAAACCTGGTCCTCTGCAAGAGCA